TGAAAGCAAGTAAATAGAGATAAACATTAGCAAATAAGAATCACACAATGATCTTATTAAAGTAAGTGTGTATAAGTTCTGGTACTGGTTATGGTTGAAAAATGAAAGAAAACAATAACTGATTGGTTAGCTGGTCTGGCTCTGTTTTGATTGGTCAACCACTTAGCGGTGTCCCGCCCCTTAGCCTATACAATACAAAACCTTGAGTGTTACAGTGATGTCACTATGTTCAGGCAGTAAACAAAGGAGTTGTTTAAATGTAGGCATTAGAGGAAGTGGAGGGGGAACACAGGCATGTTAGGCTTTGCAGACCATTTACTAAAAACGATGTAACAGGAGAGGGGAAAGAAGCACAGGGCCTCTTTAACGATGTACGTATTTGCATATCCCTCCAAGACATACATGATGACAGAGTGCAGTCAGACGCGAACAAAGAGAGCAGCACTGTAGCTTAGCTTCTCCCAGAACATGCTAACACAGATTGTTTCCTGATCTGCCTTTCCAAATCACCGGAGACAAGATGCCGGCGCAGCGTGTTTCTGTTAAATAACACTATCTGTTGTAACATGTCCACATCGCCAATCCACAGGAACAACCCTCCAGTGACGTCCTGCATCTGTTCCAGCTGGGAGCATCAAGGACCCCCACACACACACACACACACACACACACACACACACACACACACACACACACACACACACACACACACACACACACACACACACACACATCTAACTAGACATCTTTATACACACTCTTGTTTATGCCTTAATCCCCTAATCCCAGTTTTTTTCCCTCCAACCTACATTTTTTTTCTTTGCACGTCTTTGTTATCCTAATGAATGACATATCTTTATTCATAATGTGTGGAGAAGAAAGAGATCTACCAAAGTATTCATTATTTCTGCTGATTTAAATACAAAAGCCCTTGTACTGTAGATTAAAGGGTTCATAACACTTGCAAAGAATCTGCCTGATTGTCTAAGGGTTTATCTTTTTGGAAAGGCCTTATTTGAGAGGGCATAGCCTCCTCTGGCTGCATCACACTGTTGCTCCTGATTTCCATCCAAGAACCAAGTGTGTGTAAAAATGTAGCGACCTGGTGCAAAACCGTAAGTGTGAGATAGCTAAAAAATGGCGCAGACAGTTGTAAAGTTGTGGGCGCCAGAAACATTGTCTTTGTGCTCTAAGATTCTAGAATAATTGCCGATAGAGTTTTGTTTTCACCTCACATTTTACTGCACAAAAACCTCTACCTTTAACTTTTCATCACAAAACAATAGGTTTTAGTTGCCCAGGTTTTGTACTGAAGATTAACCTTGGAGAGTTTATCCTCATCCAAGCAGCAAGGTGCTCCAACTGTGAGTTATGCTAAATGTTTTATGGAGAAAATGATTTTTTTAACCAGGTACTCCTGAAAGAGATCCTTACATTCCCTAACTCCAACATTGGATAACTTTTTTACGCTGTGAGATGTCTCAATTAATATCGCTCAAGATGAGACCAGACAGTGCTCATTCAAAACGAGTACTAATTATGTCCGGTAATGCAGCTCTTTGACATATTTTGTTTATTGAATCTTTTATTTCCATGAAAAACTTCCTTATTGTTCCCAAAGTTATTGTATGCTATATGGTGCAATGGAAGAGGAAACAAGTGCATTGAACTTATATTTCTCTGGTTCAAACTGAAGTTTTATCTGTTGCATGCCCTCCCATACACACTCCCATTTATAGTCTATGCTGAAATACTACCTTGACCCAGACGAAAGTTCCATATTGTGCCCGTTGGTAATCAAGCCTTGGGTACAGTGTACGTTTTCAGATGTGTGTCTGGCATGTAGGGGTGCATACCGGTTCCCGGTATTACCGAAATACCGGTTACTGGCGGCTATGGTATACCATACCGAAATCAGATCCGGTTTTCGATACTTTTTTTTTTTTAATAAAAGTGAGGCGTAATATCCTTAAACTCGCGCCCAAATCGTCGGAATTACGATGTCAATTTCCCCGTTAAACTCCGCAAATGAGTCACTTTAGAAAATCTAAAGTGTGGCTGCATATGACTGCCAGTCTGATGGTGGGGTCTGTAACCAGGGCCGGCCCTCGGCATAGCCAGTATAGGCGAATGCTAAGGGCGCGTCAAACAATCGGGGGTGCCGAAAATTGGGGGGGGAGGGAAGAAAGAAAAGTTAGAAATTAAAAAAATATTTTCTTTGAAATTTCATAACAACACAATTTCCAGATCAACAAAGTACATCTTATTATCTTATACTAACAGAACTACGCCTATATTGCGTGCAGTGCCATAAACTATGGCACCCCCCCCCGTAACGTAAACGTATACAGCTTCTGTGTGCTTTTATTAACATTGGAATTTTCTGTGTAAGCGGCCGCGCGGGGGGGGGGATTTAGAGAGCTCTCTCCTGAAAGACTGAGAGGCTCTAATAACCTCAGCTCAGTGAGGTAAAGGCACACCTTTATATGATCATTATAGTTATAATAAAATAAGAGAATAGATTAAAAACTGGTATAAAATATTATATGACAGTAAAAAAAGTTGTTATTAATAAACAAGAATACAGTTTGAAAGGGGAGTGATTTGTAAAATATCCATAAAGAAANTTTCAAACATGGCCGGGGGTTTTGGAGGAGTCAGCCCGGAGCCAGTCATCTCCCAGCGGTGGCCGAGTCACCTGTCTTCGCTTTCAAGAGGAGTTCGGAGGGGCTACTTCCGAGAGCCGCAAAGCCCACGAATCTGGAAAGCGAGGAATGGATCCAGCGTGCGTGCGCGTGTGGCGTTGCGCTGCGCGGTTGTTGTTGTCTGAAGGAGATGGATCCATTCCTTTGTGTCGTGGGTCTTTGCGGTTGGGACAGTAGCGCTCGAACTCTTTGTTGAACGCTGAACAGGGTCGTGCACCAGCTGGGAGATGACGCTCTGCCGGCTGAGTCCTGCGACAACGAATCCCCGCCAATGTTTTCGAAGCATGTTCAGAATGATGCCTCCTTTGTTGACACGTCGTCTCCACAAAATCCAGTTGGCTGTAAATGTGCAGCGTACTTTATCTGCCAACTTGAAGACTGTATGTCATTGCCCGCTGAAAAGGGAACAGATTGAGCATGAGCTGGCTAAATTATTTGTTTTTTTTTTTTTTGTTGTTTGTTGTTTTTTTTTCTCTTGTTTGTTCTTCTGTTTTTTGGTTTTTCTTTGTTGTTTTTTTTTTTCTTCTGCAAGTAACGCCGCAGTGTTGCGACGCCAACTCCTCAGCACTGAAAGTTTGCTGCGCGTGGCGGTGACTTTCTGTTCTAAGAGAATCTTGCAGCGGCTCTCGTCAATTCAGTACACCTGGGCCAGCCGGATCTTCCTCGGCGATAACCATCTTCATTTCTGGTGTATACAGAAGCCGTCTGGTGCCGGCGTTGGAGTCTCCTCCCACCAAAGTTGCTGAATAAGGACGTGGTTAAGGTGTGTGCTTTTGAGTGTGGTTGATAACAAGCGAACATCATTCGAATACGCTGTGAAGTTCCGGTGGCATTTTCTCGGGCTCCGCCAGCCATCGTCATCTGTGATGACACGAATGTGTAGAATTCCTTCAGGGTGCAACCTGCCTTTCCGAGTTAGTTAAACCAGGACAGGCCGCGTCGCGCGGTCATGGCAGGCGGCTCCGTGCGCTGTGCACATGCGACCACAGAGAAACAGAAGCATTGCTAGATGGCTGTTCCCGAGGGTGAGATGGGCGGGTGAATCCCAG